ATGAGTTATAGTCGTAATTAATTTCGCTAGTAAAGTAACCATCTAAAAACGTTTGGAATCGGCAACACATCAGTAAAAAGTACCTAAATCAGAAAAATCAGAAGGTCAGAAAACAATCAGAAAAATTTTCAAATTTCAGAAACTTTCCTGAGTTTTCAGAAGATCTGGCAACCCTGATAAAAAGTGTTTCTCAAGTATTACATGAAATAAAATTATATGCATATAACAGATGATGTTGAAAGAAAGCTAAGTCTTAAAAAAAATTTTATTATCAACTGGAAGTAAGATGAGTTTTGCGAAAAAGAATTAAACACTTTTGATAGATATTAAATAGCTGATTTGTTTTGCTACTGATAAAGTGACACACATGATGCACGAATAAGGGTCATAAATTTAGGCTTTAGTCTCGTTCGAACAAAAAAAAGTTCCTTTTTCTGATTCATGTTTTCATTACCTAATACGTTGTGTTAAAAAAACAAAATACACCACAAAATGCAGCCTGAAAAGCTGTAAAGTCTACAAAGGATAGATTATTTTATAGGGGTAACCACTTTTCGTCCTTGTTTTTTTTACGGACATTGGTCAGAGTAGTTCGATCCGAACTCCAGTTTCTTCGAAACAGTCCGGATGTTCGGAATAAAAAATATCCGATGTTTGGAATGTAGAATGCTGGATATTTGAAATGAAAACTACGGATGTATGTAGGGTGTGGGTGTGGGTGTCACCCACGCCCCACCCACACCCTACTCATTCCCACTATCTATCTGTAAGATCTATCGCTCACGACTGAACTCTACACTATTTTTAAAACTCTAAGTAAATGTACAAGAGGTTGCTACACTCAACGACGGAAGGATATACTATATGAATAAATTGTTTTTTATGTTAAAAAGCATACACCAAAATTCATTCCGAACATCTGTCATTTTTTGTTCCAAACTTCCGTCATTTTATGTTTCGAACATCATGTATTTTTTCGCTCCGACCATCTGGACGGTTTTCATTCCGAACATCCGGGAAAACGATTTTATGTTCTATATCCGGTTTCGAACATCCGGTTATTCAACCGGATGTCCGGAAGAGCAAGAACGAAAAAGACACATCCATTTTATAAATGCAGTTTTGATCTTCAAAATGGACAAAATTTTGAGCGGCTAATTTTCGACACTGCAAAGCATATCATTCTTTGGTACGCGATCAATTTCTTTTTTGATTGTTTTGATGAATGAGTTGTTTCGAAAGCTTTCGTTGAAGGCCGAGCAATGGGATAATGGTAAAAACAATGATTCATTCATAGGCGGCGGAGCAAAGTAAATTTAGGGGAGGCTCAAAAAATAAATAAAAAATTGGAATACAAGCGTTGAAAGGTACTAAGTAATTTATGGAAGTCTTTACATTTTCCTCGAGAATCCATAGAAGTATTAACTACATTACTTTTCATAATTTTGCTAACAAACATTTCTTTACATACAGTGTTNTGACAGACAGGGTTTGGACCCATCAAAGACCGTGACAGACAGGGTTTGGACCCATCACAGACTGTGACAGAGAAACTGTAGTTCTAAACCATCAGGTAAAAGGTTCGCTACAAATGGATTGCAAAGAAATGGAACAAAACGATTTCCATTTAATTAGTAGCAGCAGATCCATCGTGTTTCACATTTTTAATCCCGCAAGGGATTGCGCTAACAGCTTTTTTATTTTATACTTTTTCTTTTCATGAGAAACGGAATACCCACAAATCAGCTATTTTGGTAAATCTTTTAAATAATTATAGCATCTAGATAAAAGTTATATCTACTTCGGAATGTCTATGTGTCTGAGACTTCTACATCTGAAAAAGTTCAGGACAACAGTACTAATATATATTTAGTATAGTCGTCATTAACATACTACCCTTGCTCGTAGAAGCTGATACAAATATAATTGTTTTGAAATTCTATAGAGACAGAACGATCATGCTGTATATTTAAAGAAAATGTTAACTTCAGTAAATGATAGATTCATATACTTATGCGGACAGACATCTTCGTTATTGATTTGCTTATGAGATAGTTAAACTAAAAGTAGTTATAGAAAACTTAAGTTTCAAAATTTTATATTTCTGAAACCATACGAAAGACATATTGACAAGCTCCTGTAGTTCTTTCAATCGTATTATGCATTCCAGAAATTATTATGTGTGTAAACGATCTTATTCTGGTCAGAGATGCACCGATTCAACTCATACTGGGCACTACTGTGATGAAAAATGATGATAGATAAGAAGATAGTGTATATGGAGATATACTTTCTTCCATTTCTTCATATCATATTATCGTCATCTGACGATTAATTATAGAAGGTTTGTTCGTGTTGATGATATTACACTTTAGTTTATTCCTTCATATCATACAATCGCGTCATTTACAGATAAAGCACACGTTTATATACATGAGTAGAACAAGCAATGATGAAAAGATAGAAGCTGAGGCCAAGGAGAGAACGCATATATAATATATGAGTGAATGATAATATAGAATGAGAAGAAGGTTCAATCGTGCATAGATGATCGTAGCCATAACTCGATTATGAACACCACGTATCATTGATTATATAGTAACATACTGAGAAAAAAAAGAGATCACATAAGATAAGATGCCTACTGGCATAACTACTAGCTATGAAAGTTAAAGTGCAAGTGCATCAATTTGCAAGAAAACTTTGTTAGATGTGACTTTCTTGTTTCAATTAGTTTTTTGTTAATAAATACGATATAATATTCTAGTAAAAACTCTAAAAAAATTTCATTTTCTATTCAACCTTGACGGAGTTGTTGGACTCCTAAAATATGTATTTGCTAAGAATCTCGATAGAACTCTTGGATGGTCTGAGAAATCGTCCTGTTAAATTTTTTCTTGAAAATATCTCTCTATGAAAGTCTCAAAGGCAGTTGCTTGAATGCAGAGTTTCATAATTCGTAAATTTTGTACCTCCGAGATAAGAAATTTCCAACATATTCTTGTAATATGTACTGCACTTTGGAAACCAAATGGTTTTGAAAAGATATTTGCTCGGCAATGCGAACTTCTAAGATTCTCTTGAGATTCCTGACAATTAATGAATATTCCAAAAGTACCTTCTATAATTTTTTTTCGTTTCATTTTATTACTTATTGAACTTTATTGAATATAATTTTTGTGGCAACAGAGAAAAATAAAGCAGATTAAACCTTTGTATCTTAATCAAAGGTCTTAGCTTCCAAGAATGTTTTTGAAGTTTCTCTGTACCAAAAATAAACGCTGTGTGCCTATATGTTACTCAAAAAAGAAAATTCGATAAGGCCCAGAAAATGGTGGAATCAAACTAAATAGTTGTTAGAAAGGAACTTTCGAGACATCCGCTAGATGTGCTAAAAAGTCAATAACTGCTAATTCTCAGTAAAAACTAGAATATCTTTATGAATCTTAGTAGAATACTATATACTCCATACAGACAAAAACATCTATGAAATCGAAATGAGACATCTTGGAATATCATATTATTGAATTTTTATCGTAGGAGACTGATATTCAATATGTGTAATCGAAACGAGGTTAGGATTAATAGCTTTTATTCATTGTTGTAAAATTTCTGTTCACATAGTAATTTGACAAAGAAAAATACAAAATGTGATATAAGAAAAATTGATTACAGAAGCAAATATATACAGGTTCAACGTTTTCAAGTTACATTAGATAGATTGTAACCATTTTCAGTTATAGTTGAGGTTAATTTGTTTAAAAATCTTAACTGTAGATGACTTTTATTAAAAAAAATATAAAAAGAGTGAGAATGATAATCTCACAAAGAATCATCAGTCACTAACATGCTGCTTACGAGTTCACGTTGTACTTGTAAGTAGAGCTCATAGTGCAGATAAAAATGCCAAAAGGTTTGTTGTCGTTAGTTCTTGATTCTCGATTGATAATCATTCAGCTAAACTTCCATTGTATTACCAAATATAATGAGCAAAACGTAATCAATAAATTTCAGTCTGCAGTTTCGTGGTGTTAAACAAAACGTATTTTGTTGAACCCATTGTGAGAAAAGAGTTTTTGCATACTGCTTATCTCGAGAATAGAGCACATTGTGCTGAAAGTTTCATAAAATTATACGGATTATAATTTCTGCTTCCAGGCGCAATTTAATTACCAGTCGAGAACCAACGCCTAATGAGAAGAATTCTTTTTTAGTTTTCGTCTGCATTATAAGCTCTACTTATTAGCAAAACATCCACTTACATGGATTCTACCAGTAAGTGAGATTCTTTTATCAATAGAATCCATTCATCTCTGACTATTTCTTTCCATTATTTTCAGAACATTTCTTACATGGATACTAAATCACCTAGTCAACTTCATGCTACTCTGATTGAGTGAGTTATCATGATCTTTTATATGAAATAACTCAGTCTAATTCAATTTCCATTTAGTAACATTGCAAAGATCGAGAAGGGCATTGGTTTTGAATTCTTAGTGCTATTGACAACTTTATTTCTCACCCTTGATTCTGTGATAGTGTGTTCTATTGTCAACTGGAAATTGACTTGGATCATGTTATTCCTGATGTTGTTGGTCATTATTAGCGCGTTTGTCTATTCTAAGGTATGGCCTATTTTTCAATCAATTTAATCTTTATATATTCATATAGTTCATTACAAATGAAATCATGAATGAGATAATGACATACTCAAAAGTAACACAAATTGTTCAAGAAGTGTTTAGTTCACTGCGAACGGTTCTTTCTCTCAACGGTAGTAAATTTGAGCAGAAACGGTAGAGAAATACATCAATATTGTTTATTTAAATAACATCGCAATTCATTTTGTTAATTTTATTACATTTAGCTACGAAAGAGAATTGTATTCAACTCATTGGAGTAGCATACGTCAAGGTTTCATATGTGGAGTGCATGTGGGATTGGCATCTCTAAAAACTAGCTTGGCTTATTCAATTGGGTTTACTTTTGGTCATATGTTTATGTCACAGGAAGACTATCTGGTTTTCGGCATTAGTAATATTCTTGTTGTAAGTAATTCAGAGTCAGTTATTAAGAAAATTAATACAACATTACTATTGCGGTATAGGTCATCTCTATCATTGTGAGATGTTTGAATAGCCATAATTCTGTCGGTCTTTACTTTCAATCACTCGCAGAAGCCCGATGTGCAGCATTGGCAGTGTTTCGACTTATTGACGAGGTACAGTCGAGTAAATCTAGGTCTTATTTTAATAAAAATATTTCTTGTTTTTTTTAATAAAATTTAGGGAAAAGACACAAGAATCAATGAAGCAGATATATGGATGGAAAATACAGAATCAATTTATAATTTGAATGGTGATATCAAATTTGACAGTGTCAGCTTTTTTTATCCATCTCGAAAAGAAGCATCAGTTTTGCATAATCTCTCTTTTATTGCTCGTGCTGGTCAAACAACTGCTCTTGTAGGTTCAAGTGGTTGTGGTAAGTCTTTTCTAAAAAAGAAGATGGTAAAATGATTTCATTGTATTCATAATTTATTCAAAGGGAAAAGTACATGTATATCACTGTTGCTTCGTTATTATGAACCTTCATCAAATCGAATTACTATTAATGGTCGGGCAATAACAGATTACAATATCAAACATCTTCGACAAAACATTGGAGTTGTTAGTCAAGAACCGGTATGCTTTGTTTCTATTTTTCTTTTCTTGCTTTCTATTTATTTTTACTCTGGTAAAAGATTTTGTTTGGAGTGAGTATTTATGAAAATATTCGTTTTGGTAAAGTAAATGCAACACAAGCAGAAATTGAACAAGCAGCACAACAAGCAAATGCCCATGATTTCATCATACAATTACCGAATGTTTCTGTCACACATTCATATTCGTCTTTATGCCTATTGATCATTAATTTTCTTTTAGAAATATGAAACAATTGTTGGCGAACGTGGTATTCTATTGAGTGGTGGTGAAAAACAACGTATTGCATTAGCTCGTGCTCTTGTAAAGCAGCCTACAATCCTTTTACTAGATGAAGCAACAAGTGCACTTGATACTGTTAGCGAGAAATTTGTCCAAGAAGCGCTTGATCGAGCCTGCAAAAGTAGCAAGCGTTTTTTCCTTCACATATCATAATAATATATCATTGTGTATAGATCGTACAGCTATTGTTGTCGCTCATCGTTTGACTACAATTCAAAATGCTCATCAAATATATGTATTAGATAATGGAACTGTGGTTGAGCAAGGTACACATGAAACATTAATGGAAACACAAGATGGAAAATATCAAGCAATGGTCAAACTTCAACAAATAGAAAAAACCGATAATGGCAAAGATAATATGATGAGCATAGAAAAAACAGTGGAACAAGATAAAAAGCCTATATGTATGTTAGCATTCTAATAATGATAATATTTACTTGTCTTGGTCCTTGTTTTTAATAGTTGAACAATCTCAACTACTTAGCGATAGTAAAATTGTTGATGTGAAAAAAGTACAAATACTATAACTACAGCTTATAAAAAGACATCGTTGATAAGTTTTCTTTTAGCGAATTTTGAGGTCATTCAAAAGCAAATTTATGTTTTTGCGACTCTTGACAATGAATAGCTCTGAGTGGATTACCATCTTGATTGGATGCATAGCATGCGTACTTAATGGTGGGACTCAACCCTTGTTCGCATTTTTACTTGTCAAGATAGTCAACGTGAGTAATTAACCGATACTCAGCAAGATGAAAAGTGATTGGCGTTAAATGTTGTCTCATTTTCATTTGTTTGTTGTTAAGGGATTTCAATATTGTTCAATCCCTGCACAACGTCATCAAGTGTTGATTAATAGTCTTCTTGTTCTACTTTTGGGTGTTGTTTTATTGGTTCTTCGCTTTATTCAAGTAAAAAGAACGCTTCTGAATTGTATTCGTGGGTTATTTAATCTTTTTTTTTAGTATACTGCTTTTGCCATATCAGGATCGAAATTAACGCAACGTATTTGTTCGAAATTTTTCGCATGCCTTCTCCGCCAAGAAATTGCTTATTTCGATCGACCTGAAAACAGTTCTGGTGCGATTAGTGTTCGTCTTTCTTCTCATGCTTCAGCTATTCGAGATATGACAGGCATACGATTAGGATTCATCTGTGAAGCTATCGCACTTTGGTTTTTTGGAACTCTATTTGGATGTTTCGTCAGCTGGCAATTAACAATGATTACTTTCTGTCCTCTATTTATTCTATTTTTAATCCTCTATGCAGATATGTCCATCAATATGTGCCTAGATAAGAAACCTGCTCAAATTCTTGGACATGCAAGCTCGGTAAGTGAAATTTTTACAAGATAATCGTCTTTCTAGAAAAAATTGATTAAACTTGAACAATTTGACGAAATGAATACTCTAGAATCTATCTAAATTTTATTTCTGCAGCTGACTGCTGAAATTCTTCACAATATGCGTACCGTAAAACAATTGTCAATAGAAAACGACGTTCTGAGACAATATTCTGAACTGATGCATGAAGCATTTCAGTAGTCAACCAAATTTTATACACATATGAATTTTTCTATCAATCTTGCTTTGTCGTAGATCTTCTTGGAAACCTGTATTGATACATTCGATTGCATATGGTTTATTCTGGATCCTAAATTCATACACTATAGGATTTTTGTATTGGCGTGCTCTTATCCTTGTTGAAAAGAAACAGCTTACTTCGAGCCATATTATAATGTAAGTGAGATACAAATTTGATAATCTAAAGATATCATTTTATTATCTTATCAATTTAATAGAGTGTTTGCCTTTGCTTCTTTTTCATTACAAGCACTCAGACTTGTTGGAATAGCGTAACATTCTCAATTATTACTACGATTTTTTTCCTTTCTTATCTTCATTTTAGATCGACGCGTATCAATTCATCAGTCGCAGCTGCTGAAGGATTTTTTGATTTATTTGATCGAAAGCCAATTATCGACAATGTATCTAATGAAGGCCAACACTTGGTAAGAGAACCCAAACGATAAATATTTAATTTCAATTTTCTATATACCATACATACACTATGGTTTTTGTAGGTTGACTTTCGTGGAGAAATTCAATTTAATCAAGTGAAATTTATCTATCCAACTCGACCAAGATCTATCATTCTTAATCAATTTCAATTGAATATTAGACCAGGTCAGAAGATATATTTCGACTTAATTATTTTATTACTAGATTTTTTTCTCGTAATAAGGTCAACGTGTTGCTATTGTTGGTATGTTTGAATTAAATATTTCTTTTCAGTGTTAATTATGCTATAAAACCTATAAAGGTGCATCTGGTTGTGGAAAATCAACAACTATTCAACTGTTGGAACGATTCTACGATGTTACAAGTGGTCAGATAGTTAGTATTTTTCGACTTATAGTTTTAATAATTATATAAAATTTGTTCACTCAATCTAGCTTCTTGATGGCATTGATATCCGACAACTAAATCTTCAGTGGCTTCGTTCTCAATTCGGTCTTGTTAATCAAGAACCAATTTTATTCGATTTAACAATAGCTGAAAATATTGCATATGGCTTAGAAAATGTAGCAATGGAAGACATCATTAGTGCAGCACGAAAAGCTAATATTCATGAATTTATTGATCAACTACCTCAGGTTCAACAATACAAAATTATATAATGGATTTATTATAATTTTGTGACCTTCTTTTAGGGTTATCAAACACAAGTAGGGTTGAAAGGTAGTTTCCTATCAGGTGGTGAGAAGCAACGTATTGCTATTGCTAGAGCTCTTGTTCGCCAACCTAAAGTACTGCTATTAGATGAACCGACAAGTGCCATGGATGCATACAATGAACATGTATGTTCACTTTTTTTTCTGGTTACCAATGATTGTATCATTTTCATTTATTTCCTCTAGATGGTAAAAGAAGCTCTTGAAGAAGCTCAGATAGAAGACTACAAGAGAACATCGCTTATTATTTCACATCGTCTTTCAATTATTCGCTCATGTGACTTGATTGGTGTACTTGATAGAGGACATATAGTGGAAAGTGGCACTCATACAGAACTGACACGACGACGTGGCACTTATTATAGAATGATTGCTCTAAAAGATTTACAATGATCATCTGTGAACTCTCTTGAACGTGAAAGAATATTTAGCTCCACATTTTGCGAAATTTTTGTCTAAAATAACATCTACAGTGTATTCAAAACATTTTTTACATTTAATACTTAAATCAAAGACTTACGATGGAAAACCATCTCATCCAAAGAATTTTCAAAATCGGTTTTAAACTCCACTTTCTACATAGTTCCTATCAATTGTGATATTCGAAAGTAATTTCCGTATACGAATGCCTGTTGCCGATGTGGGTGGGGTGCGGGTGTGGATGTGGGTCTAGGTCTGGGTGTGGCTTTAGGTTTAGGTGGGTATGAGTGAAGGTGTGGATGCTATTCGCACAAGTTATACCCACACCCTGGCGCAAACACCCACAACCACTCCCACACTCATTCACACCCACGAGTTACGCGAAGATCGCCAAAAAACTTTCGCCAATAAGACATTCATCAATGGCGAGAGTCCAGGGGTATATTGGCGAAATTCTACTGTACCTTCGCCAATAGGCAAAATTCTGATGAGTGTGTTGGCGAAAGTACAGTGGGTTTTCGCCAATTGGTGAAATTCCTAGGAATGTATTGACGAAAGTACAGTAGACTTTCGCCAACCGTCGCGAAACAATATTAATACAGGATAAATCTAAGGATTGAAGCTACAGACTGCTGAATTCAAGAATTTCTGAATTCGAACCCGATTGACAGATCTTTTAAGAGAAAAATTTTAAAAAATCCCAAGAAGATCATTATATACATCAGATATTTCTTTGGATTTGGATCCGATCAGTAAAATTTTCCAAACCCGGACATGAATTCCGTAATTACAAAGCTATCAGGCCCGGATCCGGCCGGGCTCGAGTCCCAATAGATCCAATGGGCTCTAGCTGGAGCTAATGTTGTTAGAATATTTATCATAGCTTACAGTCATCAATATAGCTGACAGAAACATTCGAATCCACATCTAGCTCACAGGCATATTGACTAAAGTCTGCTGTACTTTTATCAATTGGCGAAATTCCAAACGGTGTATTGGCGAGATTCCTGAGGATGCATTGGCGAAAGTTCATTGCACTATCGTCCATTGGCGAGAGGCCAATTTGACGAAAGTCTTATTGGAGAGGTTTCTGGATCCCACACCCACACCCCCACATACATACACACAGATACTTCATTTTTTCATTTCTGTTAGTGACGTCATTTTGCTCTTGATTATAGTTGTCTTTATTGCCACATTGAAACTTCTTACGTTGATACGATACCATTTAGTATTATTCATCTTCATCTTCATTACCCGACAGAATAATATGATTATTATCAATGGTTGTCCTTGGTTCACCAGAGTAATGTCTATTTGGCGTACGGATTTTATCATCATTTTTTTTCTTTTTCCTTTAAATTGTCATAGTATTTTTTGATTTGTTGTTGTATATCTAAACCATCAGCAATTTGATCCTTCTCAGTTGTTGTCATATTGCAATATCTATTGTACAACATTTACTTGAGCGGATTGTGAATTTTTATATTTTTGTTTAATTATTGATAAAGCAGCCTATCAATACGTGTGAATATTGTGAAGTGACTAAACAGTAGTAACGATTCCTCAAATACGGAAAATACATATTCTTTTTGTTTTCTGTTGTTTTTTATATGGTTAATGAACGAATAAATTGGGGAAACAGCGGACAATAGCTGCTGGAGATCGCTAGCACATGGTTATCACCAGATATGAAATTTTCAGTCAACAAATACTCGAAAAATATACCAGAAAAATTAACTGAAGAGACAATTGAGAAGCTTTTTAATCAAGTTTCTAGCAATTTATACAAATACATCATTAGAAAATATGAAAGTTTCAGAGTTTTGTAGAGCTTGAACCGGTGATCATTTTACTATAATAAGATTTTGAAAATTGAAGCACAACATTTACTATTGGGAATCATGACTGTTGATGAGTGTTGAAGTATAAAGTAAGTTCGACTCTCGTGCTTGTTGTAGCCGTAAGAGTGGTATGAAAGATCAATAGAAGGACCTTTTCGACACATTCCAATAGCTTCACATGTTAAGAAAGTTCCAAAAGAACGGAGTGTCGGATAAAGAAAACTGCTCCAAGAGTAGGCATTGAAAAGAGGAGAAAATAGCTGTTGGTCGAATGATTATTGATCAAATCCTATATGATTTTTCGCCGAAAGAAGTATACAGATAAGAGTGTACGTATGAGTGCAGGTATGAAGGCCAAATACAAGTACACCTACACTCTTTACAAACTATTGTTCTAATTTATCATTTCCTGACAGCTACCCGGCTCCATTCTAATTAAATACACTGGAAGGGATATCATTATTTGAGATAAACGTTTGTATTAATTTCGAAAGATCATGCTTTTTGATTGAAGCATATTGTACAAACTACGCGATCATATTTATGTTGATAAAAATAGTTAACAAAAAAGAAGCATCAAGTTACACACTTATTTTTTTCTATGATGTCCGATAATATCGACTGATTTTGAGAGAGTCGATCAGCATCGTGTGAACAGATAAGGTAGAAAAAGCGATAAGTTTGTTTTCCACATGAACCCAAGCGTAAGCGATGAATGAAGAGAATTACATTTGTTGCTTTTATTCAGAACGAAATAGCAAACACTAACAAAAAAACACACTCGGCGCATAAATTTTTTTTTGCTTGGTGGCGTTCTTATCTGCCCTGGACAGGTGTTTTGTCTTCTCGTCTGTTTCTACGTTATTGCGCAGTGCTTTTCCACATTTGTTCTCTATCATAACAGTAGATACAACGAATCCTGTTTTTTTTACTTCAATGATAGGATACTTAAAAAAATTATTTTGAAAAACATTTTCTCTGAAAAAATCTGTAAACCACTGTATTCTTCTTTCAATAATCTTTTATCCTTTTCTCTTATTTTTCATAGAAAATTAACATATGAGACATAGAGCGATTGATATTTCGTTCTGAGAGTAACAAGCTGATTATAAATATTATGTTCTAATTTCTTTGCAGACATGAAAATAGGGTAGAAACTTATGTGAAACGATTTGTGCTTATAAATGGAAACTGAAGTAAATAAGTCGATGATTAATTGTAAAGAACTACGAGTAGGTGTCGTTGGATTAGGCTTCATGGGATGTAGTATAACCACCTGTCTGTTGATAGCTGGTCATCCAGTAATCGCAATCGCGTCATTGCCGACTGATTTAGAAACTGGTGAGATGCACATTCGCAAACATATCACTCTGTCCTTTGAAAAAAGGCATATGTAGAAAAGAACCAACTCATTACTTACAAAATTTGACCATTACCGAAGATTAAAATCTTCTTAAAGACACTCATTTAGTCATTGAAACCGTAATCGAAAACGTAATTAAAAAAAAACAGGTTTTCAAAAACATTGAAAATGTAGTTGCTGACCATACAATCATAACAAGCAATACATCGGCTATTCCAATTAGCGTTCTTCAGGAAGATCTTCGTCTACCTAATCGATTTTTTGGGTTGCATTGGGGTGTTCCTGCACATACTGCTCGTTCAGTCGAAATTATTTGTGGAAACACCAGTGATCAAGAACAAGCCAAGTGGTTGTATCAATTATCACATTTTTGGGGCAAAGAACCGATGCTGTTACGAAAGGACATTCGAGGTTTCATTCGAAATCGTCTCATGTATGCATTATATCGGGAAGCATTCTATTTGGTCGAAAATGGATACGCCTCTATTGAAAATGTCGACCGAGCATGTCGGAATGGTCCTGGAAATTGGATTACTTTTGTCGGATGCTTTCGGTGGATGGATTTAACTGGTATACCAGCTTATCATACTGTAATGCAAGATTTATTTCCAACCCTTTGTAATAGCACAGAAGTACCAAAATTAATCGACAAAATAGTAAAATCAGATGGACAAGGTATAATAAATGGCAACGGTTTTTATCAATATACAACAGAAGAAGCTTGTTTGTGGAGAGAAACGCATCAAAAATTCAGCTATGATATTCGTGAACTGGCGCAGAAGTATCCAGAGGATGTGGTGAAAAGAAAATTGGAACTGCAAGAGAAAGATCAATCCAATTTCGATATTGTTTTCTTACAACCGGAATAATATGTTTCCAAGTACCAGTCACAGTTCTAAATCGATAATAAAAATGCTATGAAACTCGAACTGATTTTCAGAAACAGCGTTAGATTGTAATAAATTCTAGTTGTTTGAGGAGTCAGCAATAACATTAGATTTTACCATTCATTATCATAATAAGAATACTTCTCAACGTAAACTAAAAAAGTTTAAAAATTTCATGGCGCGTATCAGGGTCTTCAATGATCAAGATAATATCATGAAGTTCTCGAAATACTGCCCATTTTTGCTTTTCTTCACGCATCACTAAAACACGAATGAGGTCGATTGTTCCCTTGGTCCATGATTCAAGAAAACCTCATCCGATTCGCGTAGTAAAGCGTAACATTTCGATACTTTCATCGCCACATTCAAAGGTCAGGCTGTTGGTGATGTACGTGTCGATTTGGACATAAACTTAAATAGTTTTCCAACATCGATTATCTCAAAACGTAATAGTAATTGAGGGTGTGGGTGTGAGTGTCGGTAAAATGTCTGCTATTTATGCTCACGCTAATACTTACACCGACACCCACTTCACATCCACACCTCACATCTGCACACACACTCACAACCATACCCCAAATCCCCCCACACCCTAAAATGTTATTTTTTACGTTTTGCAACTGTAAATGACAAACCATTCAAATATCCCATGGCATCTATACAAGGGGGAAACAGCTGATTAGGGATCCGATAATCACCCTAATCACTCCTAATCATCCCTAATCACTCCTAATCATCCCTAATCACTCCTAATCGTCACTAATCACTCCTAATCATACCTAATCACTTCTAATCACCCCTGATCATACCTAATCACTACTAATTAGGGATGCAATGATGACTATCAATAATCACTTAATCGTAAACGATTAAACGGTAACTGGTCTGACCAATCAAACGATTAAATGGCAACCGGTCAAATCAATCGACCGAATAAATGAAAATCGGTTGGTACGAACAAACGATTAAAACCATATTAATCTAAGTACCGCTATTTGCAAAGGTACCATGGAATTACCTATATATCCTCAACACCTATACGATAGGACCACCCATAGATTCCCAATAGCTTTGCTTTGGAAATACCTATAGGCCTTCAACTACTATAGTATGGAGGTACCTTCAGGTTCTCATTTACTATACTATGGGAGCACTCTTGGGTCCTCATTTGCTATAATAAAGAGGGATTGTTGGATCCTCATCTGCTATAATATAGGAGGACCCTTGGGTACTGAAANTTCCATAGGAAGCTATAGGGAAAAATCGGTATTTTTGCAATAACTCAGGAACGGCTCGGCCGATCCTTCTCATCTTCGAACTCGACCGAGATATTGTAAAGACTGAACTGTGTAGAAAATTTCATCGTGATCGGACTCTCCTTTCGAAAGTTATCGTGTAAACGGCCGGCCGGACATACTGACCGATTCTAGAGTGTACTCACTTTTTGAGTACACAAAAATGTTACGATTTCGACGCTATTCATAAACTTAGTCTTTAAGAATTAAAAACTTACTCGTCGTCTTTCACAAATAAAAAATGCGAAAACATCGGATTTAAATCCGAGTGTTATGTGTACTTCAAAAAGTGAAAAGGTATATTCACTTTGTTTTTTATCATCTGCGACATATCTAGACTATTTGCTTTCTTCATGTAGTTTTTCTGCATTTTGAGACCTTTTTCGGCGGATGTTTTGTTAGAAAGCTACGATTTGGTTCAAAACTAATGTCAGATTCGGAATCAGCGTTAAAAACTGAGTCGATTTATATATATTGCGAATAATTCGGAGAAAAAAAATTTTTTTTTGAAAAAATCCCTGTACCCCCCTTCAGGGATGGTCTTCTCAATAATGACAATTTTTTCTATAACTCAGCCATTTCTTGACAGATCCTGCTCATCTTCGAACTCGACCGAGACATTGTTAAGACTGAACTGTGTAGAAAATTTCATCATGATCTGACTCTCCTTTCGAAAGTTATCGTGTATACGGCCGGACGGACATAATGACCGATTCTAGAGTGTACTCACTTTTTGAGTACACAAAAACAGGTTTTGATTAACCTTGATCACTAGCCAAGTTATCTGTATTTATTAATTATGTCATAACTTTTACAACATTCTGTATGATACTACTGTTTGTATTTTAGTACAATAACTTCCTCTAACTAAAATCAAAAGTTTTTCATGATTTCGACTAACATATATTTCATTGAATCTAATAGAGAGAAATAAATGTTCTATAGTTGTAACTGAAATTAATTTATATTTGACAGCTTTATCTTTTACTAATAATTTATTCATGTATACATTTAATCATAATTCCAAAGCTTTTCAACAATTATAAATCATTTCTAAAACGTTTATTTTCGTGCATCAAACCTACGAATAAACGTTTTGTTTTTTATTTGTATATTCTAAAAAGAAGGGAATAATGCAAGAATATATACACACACAAATATATATGTAAGAGGAGCAACCGAGAACAACAAGAGAAATAATCAGCAGAAATAGATACATAATTAAAGCATCTTTTTTTCCTACATCGTTATGTATTTTTCTTAGTTTTAAAGAGAAAAATATAGATGTGTTGGATATGTTATAGTTGATATAGTACTTTATTTCCTGCTGTACTTTTCTTTTTATATGTCATATTAGTCGTTGTATTTGTTTCTTGATTATGAAGCTAGAAAACAAAACAAAATGTATATAAATAAAATTTCTTCATTTTTATTTTTACTTCAAATAAAATATGAATTTGTCGTGGAATATTAATTAATTCACGCATACGTCGACTATAAAAACAATATAATTAATTAAATTATATTCTATATTTTATTTTTAATTTTATACCCAATACGAAAGATAAGTTGTTGATCATGATGAACCGATGTCCAAAGAGCAATACGATCACAACTTTTACGTGCTGATAAAACAACTCCATTAACATAATTTGTATCTTGTGCATATTGACCACCGATTAAAGATAACATCTATATACCGAAAAAAAACAATAGAAAAAAATAGAAAGACATTAAAAAAAACTACTTACTGAAGCAAGCCAACAAACATCAAGATTAAGATAGACTTGTTCGGATTTAGAAAAATAAAGAACCCAACGACCACCGTTGGAATTATGTGAATCTTCCCAACAAGGTAAAATAGGTGTTTTAAATAACATATAATCACAACTTGGTGGTAAACGTGATGCTACACGTAGATGATTGAATAGACTAAACAAAAAAAAATAATCATAAGTACTTTTTTTTTAAATACACATCCCTTATGTCTATAATCGGTCTAAATGAACCTTTTGCCCGTGCTGAGGAACGCTGGAAAATGAATCGCATAATGTTTCAAATATGAATATGCGTTGAAATATAATCAGAGAGAAAATCTATTTCACTAGTTTGATGATCATTTACAGATCTATGAGTTTGTAAGACATATGATATCCCATTGAAATTCATCTCATTATCAAAATTGTCTTTGAAAGGAGACAATAGTAAATATCTGATTAATGGTTGCCAATGCATAGTTTTACCGATACCCTCAAAATGTGATTTTATAACTACTTTGGGAATGATAAAACTGAACGTAAAACATAATTATGTTTATCTTAGTTGGAATTTCTATAAATTATTAAGGCCCCCCCCCCCCACTCAAAAATCGATCTCAGCCCAGATACGTTCAAATGGGCTGAAATTTGGAGCATATGTTGGGGAGGCTGTGGTAAAATTTTCAGCTCGATACCACAACGTTTGACTGAGATATTCACCAGACAACGGTCAAAAATAGGTCATTTTGGTACAAGGATTTCTCAGTCCGGATCCGTCCAACATATTTAAATTCTTTTTGTTAGAAAGAGTATGTCCGGATGCAGAGCACTACGCAGTCCTTTTTTTTAGATTCTTACTTTTTTAGCGGAGAAAGGAGATCACAAGTCCAATAACTCAAAAAACACGCCAAAAATGGGTGTCCAGTCCCATAAGTGTCTGTATATATAATAAAAAACAAAGCTTAATTAAAAAAAGGACTCCGTAGTGACCTGCATCTCGACGCGCTCTTTCAAACAAAAAAACAATTTAAATATGTTGGACGGATCCGGACTGAGAAATCCTTGTACCAAAATCAAAAAATCATAAATCGAGAAAAAACGAAAAAAATTTTTTGATTTTTCAAAAAACAGCTGGTTTTTCGAATAGAGGATGACGAAAATCTTCGAAAATTTTGGACAAAAAGGAGGTATCGAGGAAATTTTTTTATCAGTTATGAAAGAGCAGATCACGTGCTATCTTCCCATGCTGTTATCTCAATTTCGAAAAATGACTTTTTTTGAGGGGGGGCGGGCTTAATAATTTCAACATATCGATTTCTAGTTATCTGACAAATGTGTAGAATGGCCTAGTCACCAAATACAAAAATTCATTGAGAGTATCATAGTATGACTCGATTGAATCTAGGTTAAAAAAATTTTGTTCGTACATATTCCTAATCGATATAAATTATTTGAACTTACGCCCAAAATTCTTCTACATAACCAAATGTTGCTAGTTTCATTAAATTATCTTGCCAATTTTTTCCTTGTTGATTTTTTAAATACCAAAATGACCATTGATTTTCAAGAGGATGTATAAGTTCAATTTGTTTATTCATTAATATAAGTGGTATCGTTAATTCATTTGAATCTGTTGATGATGATGATGATACTAATGAATTCTCTTTATGATCATCAATATTTTTTTCAAGTAAATCATGTATATTTAGTGATTTCGATTGCTCTCCATTATTTGAATTTAAATGAATTTGTTCAGCTAAAACAAACAAAAAAGAAACTATGATTGTCATGAGTACTTGAGAGAATTTTTTTCTCGGAATTAAAATATATAATATAACATATACAAAAAGTCTACTGTATCTCCGAAAGAAAATCACATTTGAGATAAGTCTTGATAAACCTTTGTTAGGACTATAAAAATCGAGGTCGAAGGCAATCAAAGTACTTACTTAATGTGATAAGACATATTTACGAAGAATTTGATATTTGGACAAATTCAGGAGACAAAAAAAAAAACATCTGCAAAAACTCGATCGAAGATACAGAGATATCACAACATATCGGTTATACCTCTTAACTGGTAAATCTGTAGATATGGGTTTTTACAAAATTGATTTTTATAGAAAGTCATATGAATAAGACACATCTTCAAGACGATTTATTACTCGGAGTAGACTTCTACTGACTTTGATGATTATATATATTCATTCTAAAAAAAGGAAGAGGTACTAACATGTGAGACATCAACGACACTCAAGACTTCACATACTAACATTCTTGTTTCTTCTCATAGATCTCGATGAGAGAGAGGGGGGCTGGATCATATTAAGCTTGTCCCTCAAATTTTTGACATTATTCCTACGAAAATTTCGAGCATTTACGTGAGAAAATTTTAGTATCTCCTGCCACTGATAAAAAATCGTCGAGAAACATAATTCTTTTCTTCTTGTCTACAAACAAAATTCTATACATACAATTAACATTTAATTTTTCCACTTGTTCATTGATGTGATGATAATCATTAATATTTTCTTTGATATCATCAAGTATTTTATTGACAACTGTTGTTGTTGATTCGATAAGAAGATTTGTCATTTTTTTTTTAAATAAAAAAAACGTCCGATATATATATTACGTATGTGTATAAAAATGCAAGTGTAGTATATGATATATTGAACGTCTATGATTCATTATCTGTTCATAGCGCGCATACCTTTGTTCATTCAAACAAAAAAAAAAGCGCTTTACAATTAATTATTTTATTAAGAGAAAAAAAACAATTTTTGAATATAAACTAAAAAAAATCTCATTAAATTTTACATAAATTTAAAAAAAAAAAAAAAAAAATTTTATTTAAAATCAAAGTGCATTAATGCTTTGATTTAAATGAATTTTATTCTTTTCTCATTGGCTTATTCATATTTTTTATATTTGACCTTAAAAATTTATTTTTTTATTTATTCAAATGTACCGTTTCTATTTTAATTGTCATCGTTGGAAACCGACACGTGATCAATGGTTATTTGCAAATCGTTGTCTTCCTATTGATGAATTAAAACGTATTGATGAATATACATTTCAACATGATGTCAAATTTACACTTATTGGACAATTACTAATTCGTTATCTTTTAAGTCAAGTATTTGATAAGAAAAGTTCGTCATTTGTTCTTCAACGCACAAAATATAATCGTCCATTTATTGAAATTACACCATCGTTTGATTTTAATGTTTCACATTATAATCAATTAGTATGTATTGCTGGAACATTTAATGGACGAATTGGTTGTGATACAATGATTTATAAAAAAGAAAATCTTCGAAAATTAAATTATGATTTAATACGAAAGAAATTTACATTAAATGAATATGATTTTATAATAAAAAATTCATCAAATTTTTATCGTTTATGGTGTTTAAAAGAAAGTTATATTAAATGGTTAGGTATTGGTATTGGTTATGAATTATTAAAATTAAATTTTCATATTAATACAAATGAATTCAATCAAAATTCAATTATATCTGATACAATTTTAGAAATTAATAATAAATTCTTAACTAATAATCTTCGATTTGATGAACAAATTATATTTTTATCTGATAATGAACAACAAATAATAACTTTATGTTTATTAATCAATAATCATTGTCAATCATTTGTTGAATTAAATATTGATGATATTCTACATGGTTGTACACCATTTGATAATAATAAAGAAGACGATTTGATATCCTGGGAGAGATTTCAAATGAAAAGACAAACAGATATAACTTGATATTCAGATTCATAGATATTATAAAGTAAGTGGAGTCAAAAGATTACAAAAAAAAAAAGCATAATAAAAGTCAGATATTTTATTCAATTCCTATTTGCAAATTAGCAGATAAAGAAATTCATAGAAACAAAAAAAAAAACGCTTGTGTCTACAATCTTTTTGCGATTTTCATTTATTTATACAAAATATGTTAAGTGAATAATTTCTAGCAGATTTTATAGTTGTTTTTCAAGGATAATCGACTATCAGAAAAATAATTTGTTGCATTCATTTTTGCATTTTCAGACGAGTGTTTTTTTTTTCTCTAATGGAGCTCGATTTTTTTTTGGTGTGCATTGGTGCTTTACATTCTCATATTCAGTTTTTCTTAATTCAAGATTATTATTATTATTATCCTAACTATTGATTTAACTGCCTGTGGTACGTATAGTATTATATCTACAGGAGGTCTTAACGCACTATTATATATCTTGAGAGACTCAGGAGCATTGATATTGATTATTTTTCAAAGTTATAACTTGGTTAGTTCACGCTTTTTATGTTGATCATATAACGACTGTGACAAATCAATGCACCACTACCCATTAGCATCCTTGATATTTTCATTATAAATTTTTATCTGCGCAAAAAAATCAAAAATTGTACCATGTAGAGCATTGACAAACATATTCTATCCATAGAATGTTCTAGAACAGTCGAAATCGTGTTGCTAATGTCGCTCAACGCTTTTCTCGGTTGCTAAGGGACTCTGGGAAAGGGGTGTGATGTGTGCTGTTCTTGGTCGCTATCGAAACGTACATTATGGCTGTTGGTTTTTTCCAACATTTGCTTTGAGAGAAAGAGGCCGCAAAATCTTGACTCAATATTTTTCTTTGAGAAACGTAATGTGAGTTCCACAAAAGCAATCAATATTTATTAAATTTGTTGAGAGAATTTGCTGTTTTGTTTATTAGAGAATGTTTGATTGATCTATTTATAATTTACAGTAAAGCTTGTCTATGTAAGCACTTCCTTATTTTAAGCTATAGACGTAAATTTCTTGTCATATGTGCAATAACAACCTATGTAAATGTGAGCGACATATATTCTATTACTGATGTGCAGAACGAAACAAAACTGATGTAATATGCTTTGCGTTATGATAAAAAAAAAAGCAGTGTGTGGCGTGATTTACTGTCGTTTTTATATTAATAGTTAGTGATGTGAAAGCATATGCAGACGTGTTGATTCGACTCTAATTAAAAAATTGAATTAATAAATTGTCGAAGAAAAAAAAAGACAAAGATCATTTTGTGCAGCTTAAGAACGATTGCAAGTGAACACCTCTCAATAATAATAAGCACATACGTGAAGTGAGCGCTTTTGAACGAACTTGATGATACTTGTATTAGAGAGATTTTATTGTGTCAGAATTTAAGCTGTTGCTAATAATAGATAAATTGCGACGCATATTTCTTAAGATATTATTGACAAAATGGATTAAATGTATTCTCTCTCTCTCTTTTTTTTGTCTATTGAACCTTAAAAGTCAGATTTCAAGAGCATTTTTTTTTCATCAAGATTAAGTATTATTTTTATCCAATTTTGATTTTGATTTTAATTAGTTTCATTATGATTAATTCTTTTTTTGCTGATTATTTATCTCTCAATATATTATGTTCAACCAACAAATATATGATTTTGTCATCTGCTTTGATTGAGAAATTTGTCTTTTTATTTGAGACTGTTATTAATTACTATGATATTAAAATATCAATCTAGACATTTGCAGAAACTTGTTCTCTTTAAACTTTTCAAAAGATATATCTGTGTGTGCAAAATCAGTTAAAATGGTATATGATCATCTGCAAATTGACTTTGATTCTTTTTCTTTTTTTTTTTTTTGAACATGTTCTTTTATCATAACCAGAGCAAATAACTCTCTCACTTTATGCCGGAGATATTCAAGAATTTCAGCTAAAAAAAAAACTGATTCTTCTGAAATTTTCTCATATTCCCATAACGAGACATTATTTTGCTATCATTTCAACATCTCCAAGAATATTTTATATCATTGAGAATTGGCTTTTCGAAATTTTTATTCACATTATTAGCAATGAATAAACTCAACTTCTTGAAAAATTTGAGCATGTGCAGATATACTTTTTTTCAACGTACTCTGTTTTTCAAACAACAGTTCAGATTGCAGAGATATATACATCTATTTTTTTATGAGACCATATCACTAAAAAATATTAAAATTCTTCATACATGATTGCATATAATTCTTTCAATCAATAAATAATCATATATTGAAATTTCTCAATGATATTTAAATAATTCATGAAGATTTCTCTCGCGTGAAAATAATTTCTATCATTAGAAAATATTTATTTTTTAGGACATATCTACAGATGAATAACATTGAATTTCTTGCAGATTTTTGATATATGTAAAAAAGAAAAACGAACAATCGAAGATATCATTGATTTGAAATGTTCTTTTTTTAGAATATGGCTTTTTTTGTTTTTTTACATAAATGAACTTTTTTGCTATACAGGTAAATCTTTTATTCTAAAGTATAACTATATCAATGGATTTTGAACAAATATCAAGAAAATAATCAAAACAATCTTTGGCGCTATTTTCTTTTTTCTTGTATTTATAATCAATTTGTTATATATATATATATGATTCATTACTTTGTCTTGTTTTATTAATATTCTAAAAAGAGAAAAGAAAAGTTATTCAACTATAAACAGAATAAAAAAAAAGAATCAGATTGCAATGATATTTTTCTTCTTTCAGAACAGTGATTGAATTTTTTGCTAGAAAAAAGTAAAAAGTATTCTTTTCATGGTGCTATTCATTATTGTTTACTACTAAGCAAATAAAGAGAGAAATATACAGAGTCATGTCTACTGGTTCATCATCAAATATTATTATTCGTTTACAAAATTTACCGAATGAGGCACGAGCTGTTGATATTGTAAGTTGAGATTAATTTATTTTTTTGTTCATTAGAATAAATAAAAATTTGAACTAATGAAAGAAAATGTTTTCATCTTCTAGCGACGATTCTTTACTGGTTTGAATATTCCAGATGGTGGTGTACATGTCGGTGAGAATGTTTTGAAATAGAAAAATCTTTTAAAATAATTGTTTTTTTATTTTTAATTATAGTCGGTGGTGAAAAAGGTGATGCTTTTATTAATTTTAGTTCAGATGACGATGCTCGACAAGCTATGATGAAATCGGGGAGTATTTGTGGTAATCCAATAAAATTATTTCTAAGTAGTCGATCCGAAATGCAATCTATTATTGCACAAGTTCGTGCTGGTCCATCAGCAAAACCATTAACAAATGTTGTTGAATCAAATTATACATCAAATATAGTTGAACAACAAGATCAAAATGGTTCTAATATATCAAAAATGCCATCAGCAAATGCTATATCATCAATTCTTGCAGAATTTCAAGCAAAAGCTGCTCAACAACAACAACAACAGCAGCAACAACAATTACAAATGCAACAACAAACACCAACTATTGATCCAACAAATGCTTTATTATTGGCTGTAGCACAAAATGGAAGTAATCCATTAGCACTTCAACAATTATTAGCTACATTAAATGATAAACAACAACAACAACAACAACAACAACCAACATTAGGACAACAATTTCCTTTTCAAATGCCACTTCTTACAAATCCAATTAATCAATATGCACAACAACCAAATGGATGGATGACACAACAAGTAAATATTGAATAAAACGAGTGAATTCAACTTGATAGAGTTAGTTTTACTAGCAGGTTTTTTTATTTATGAGAATGATG